AGAGAGAGAGAGAAACAAAGATAAACAATGGACAGAAATGAAGCTAAAATGCTGAGAAAGAAGAGGAAGAAAAGTAGAACTTGACACGACAATGTTGGATTTCATCATCCGTGTTTATTGAGGCTGTCGGGCTGGCTGCCAGCGAAAACCAGTGAAAGAAAAAAAAAAAAGCCAAGCGAAACAGAGGAAGAGGAGACTAGGACATAACCAGAACCACTCGTCACTAGTAACTAAAGAATGTTCAAACTCCATTCACAAAATACGAATCGTTGCAAGGAATTGGGTCAAATAATAATATATAACTGTAATATATAATATTGTTTTCCGTGTTACGTCACTATAACATAAAATTAGATGTATATGTACAGAATACCCTATAGGTAAGTTATTTCACAATGAAAGACTTGCGGGCATGAAGGGCGGGGCCAACTCGTAGGATAACCAATCAAAAGTATTATAAACTAACCAAATGTAAGATAATCAATCAAAAGTAAGAAAGTTAGAAAACCAACCACTATATTATTATAAGATAACCAATCAAATGCAGGATAACCAATCAAAACTAGGATATGCCTAACCAACAAAATTTAGGATAATCAATCAAAAGTAAGATAACCAACCAAATTTAGGATAACTAATCAAAAGTAAGACAACCAATCAAAAGTAAGAGAACCAATCAAAATTAAGATAACCAATCAAATTTAGGAAAACCAATGAAGAGTAAAATTTAATCTAATTAAACCGAATAAAAGAAATATATTTAGCAAATCAGACAAAAGTTTAACAAAAAGTCATTATTACAGCATCAGTTATGTTCAAAACTTTTTGCTCAAGTGAATCAATTAAACAGTGACGTACTTTCGTTTTATATAAAGACATTCAGAAATTAAATACAGGACAAAAACATCACAAGACTGGACAACCGTTCCTAACAAAACAGACTTACTTAATATTAGATCGTCAGTACCTACCCTCCCCCCAACCCCCACCTTCTTACCCTCCTCTTTACCTTCCCCCC